TGGTGTTGACGTTGCAGTATGCTCCAAAGTCGCATCCATGTCTTCTCGCCGCATTGTTGTGTCGGAATGCCGTCCGTGAAGGGGGTTTGTCGTCTGGGATGGATTGCCAGTGGTGGGAGGGTCTGCGTCAATTCATACGTTGTTCAATCCTACCGCACTTACACTTCTTCAATTATGGTGTAATATCAATATTTAATAATATTTTGTAATTAGACTTCTTTTGCATTGCCTTAATTACCCTTTTTCCCATTAATTATGATTCTGATTGCCTTAAATCTAATCCATTCATCTACTCTAATCTTATGGCCTATATTTGTCCTTACGTTTGTATTTTAAGAGTGTTTGCATGTGAATGCAACCCTATATATATATTTATTTATTTATTTATTCATTCATTTATTTATTTATTTATTTATGGCTCGCGAGCGGCTCGACGAGTCGCGAACCTAGAATATTTGAGCTCGAGTTCGACCCGAGCATTGACCGAGCGACTCGCGAATCGCTCGCGAGTTGCTTGGCTCAACACTCCTATATAAGTATCCTACATTTGAACCGAATTTTTTCTAGTTAAAGAATCTCTTTCTATTTCCCATTAATGGAATAAGAAAAAAAAAATACAAATCTGAAAAGTGGTAGGCGTTAATTTAAACACTACAGGTGGTCCTATCGAAGAAAACTCAACTAAAAAAATAGGCCATTGTTGACGGGAAGAAAAGTATTTTTCATCCATTATGTTTATTATAATTGTCTTCATTCTCCAAATGTAGTGTAGAATTAGTCAAACATTTCAAATAAAAAAATATTAAAAATCAAATAATTGGTTACTTTATTCTTTGGAAATAATCAATTGCTTCGTTACTAAAATTCCAGTTTGCCAGAAAATCCGTTGTTGACTTCCTTATAACATGTGTGTGCATAGTATAAGGGTGTTTGGTAAATAACTGTTAGCTGATTGAATTAATGGAATTGATTAGTTGATAGTATTAGCTGCTTGTAGAAAGATGTTTGATAAATTAGATATTAACTGATAGCTGATTACATGCAGAATGACTTTTACAAAAAGCTAATCAAAAAAATTATTTTTAGTAGTTTTTTGAATTTTAACATTTTGGAATAAAAAATTATTATAAAAAGCTAATTAATCAAACACTCATATTGATTATTCAACAATGTCAAATAACTAATAGTGATCAAATAAACTAAAATTGACTGATTGGCTAACTATTTTACCAAATATGGCCAAAATATTTAATCAAATAAAATAACTAATAGTAGTCAAATAAGTCAAATTAACTGATAAGCTAACTATGTTATCAAACAGGGTATATCTATTTTATGTCTTGTCACTTATCCATTATCTCTTTCTCTTTTTTTTTGGTGATAAGAAAATTCATAGTTGTTATTCAAGAATTGGATTAAGAGAGTTTAATAAGAATTGGACATCCCTTTCAAGACTACTTTTCTATTCTTAATTCACTTCTTAATACTTCTAATGTGACTATTTCAAATCTTGTGATCATCATTGTTACTATTTTAAATAGAAGGTCAGATGTTGGCATTATTATATTGAATAGATAGTACAATTATTATTATTATTTTTATATTCATTAAATACTCATAAATGGACTGATTTCGCCATAAATTAAAAAGAAATCTACTTATTAATTTAATTAAATATAAAAATAACCAATCAAGTAATTTCATACCCAAAAAGTACACATAACCAGGTGGATTTACAAAGCTAAACACATTTCTTCAATTTTGTCAAATTACAGAATAATATACTGCATCCCTCACCCTTTTTAGTATTTGATATTATTGTAATGAATATGAAAGCAGTTCCCTTTCTATTTATAGAATATGACCATTTTTTTCACAATTTGATATCATAAAACTTTGTATAATTCATACTTGATTACTATTTGATTTATGGAAAGCTCGCACGTACTCGCTATTCGAAGATACATTCTAGGTGGTGACATTTGTATTGTGACCCTAGCGGCTGGCCTAACCAACAAAGAACCACAAATAAGTAATATAAATTAACCTAAATTGCTCATAACTGATCAGCTCAAATAAAAAAAGTTAATAGGTAGTCTTCACCGGGAGTCAAAACTTGAAACCTTGTGATTATCAAGTTAACGGTCTAACCCAATGTTGCAGAAGGCGCTAGGGGCTAGTTGGGCGCCCGGGGGCACGCGCCTAGGCAGTAGAGTAATTCGAGTATGTGTCACCACTTTTTCCACTCAGGACTATGCGTTTTTAGACTATTATAATCTCACAAACTAGTCAACTACATATGTTAGATGGTTATTTGAATACATGGCTGGAGGAATATAGAAAATGAGCAATCCACAAAAAATACCACTTGGCCTAGTTTAGTGCCGACTCAGCCTAGTTGGATGCCAACTAGGCAGAGTTAGGCGCCCAACTCAGTGCCTAGTCGGCCAACTAACTAAAAGCCGCCTAGAGCTGAAATCGCCTCGACCTGAGGCGTATATAGTGCCTAGGTGAATTTTTACAACACTAGTCTAACCTCATAGTTGATTACTCTTTAACCTTTTAAACTTTTGTCAATTCTTGATCTTCATTCGGCTGATGTTGAGATAATTAGAAATTGAGTGATGAATGTTGGAAAGCATGACTAGACAATTTCAAACTTACCAATAAAAACAACAAACAGCAAACAAAAACCTCTACTTCAAATTCTCATACTTCATTGGGCATTCCATAATCCATTTCTGTCCTCTAGCGGATATATGAAGACTTTTTCTTTCCCATATATATGGCCAAAATTCCTTAACATTTGACATTTTCCCTTAACCAAAAATTTGTCAAAAATGCCATAATATCTAATCGCAGCTGTTCTAATAACGACCGGCATCCATTTTCCATATGCATACGTACGCGTTCATCAACATATATCTTTTATATCATTTTTCAAAAATAAAAGATGATATTATTTGAAATCTAATTGTTTTTTACATGCAAATACTAGGGGTAATAAGTGATAAAAATATTGAGGAAGGAATAAGGGTCAAATAGGCCACTCAACTGCACACCAAAGTGTAATTGGGCCACCGAACTTTAAAAAAGATGCAATTGGGTCCCTAAATAACACAAAATTATGCAATTAGGTCCAAAATGACCTGTTTACCTGAAATGGTAGGTTACCGATTTTAAAAATAATTTTTAAAACTAATTTTAAATAAAATAATTAATTAAAATTAAAAATTTTTTAAAAAAAAACTGTCGTTCATCTCCGGCAGGCTTGGTCTCCATTGCTCTTCATCTCCGGCCATGGAGACGAAGACATTCGTCTCCCTGGCCATGGAGACGAAGACATTCGTCTCCCTGGCCATGGAGACGAAGATCTCTTTGTCTCCATGGTCGGAGACCATCCGGAACTTCCGTCTCAGGCCATGGAGACGAAGCCTGCCGGAGATGAATCGTCTCCGGCAGTTTATTTTTTTTAAAATTTTAAATTTTATTTTTAATTAATTATTTATTTAAAATTAGTTTTAAAAGTTATTTTTAAAATCGGTAACTTATAATTTCAGGTAAACAGGTCATTTTGGACCTAATTACATAATTTTGTGTTGTTCAGGAATCTAATTGTATTTTTTTGAGTTCGGTGGCCTAATTGCAGTTGAGTGGCCTATTTGACCCTTATTTCTATTGAGCAATATATAATTTTGAGAAATCAAAGGTTACGATATTACTAAACTTTCAAGTTTGCAATAATTATAAAATGAGTTTTGTTGTTAAAAGTTTTTTTAATAATTATAAAATTGACATCACGATCTTTTTACTAAAACCCTCAACCATTATTGATGAACTTGATGGATGGCTGAGATCAATCCTCACCTTTTACAAGAAGACCCTATATGCAAAGGAGGTCTCAGGTATAAAATGAGGTGAAATCTCAGCCATTGATCTAGCTAAAATCAACAGTCCAGAATGATGAAAAAAAATGTGGTGGCATTATGATAATTTAGTGTATAACTTAGAACTTAAGGTGCATAAGTTCGAAACTTAAGTGCATCAGTTCAAAACTTAAGGTGCATAGGTTTGAAACTTAAGGTGTATAAGTTCGGAACATAAGGTATATAAGTTCGGAACTTAAGGTGTATCAATTCGAAACATAAGGTACATCAGTTCGAAACTTAATGTGCATCAGTTTGAAACTTAATGTGCATTAGGTCGAAACTTAAAGTGCACCACTTCAAAACTTAAAGTGCATAACTTTGAAATTTAAGGTGCATCAAGTCGAAACTTAAGATGCATAAGTTCGGAACTTAAAGGTGCATCAGGTCGAAACTTAAAGTGAATCACTTCAAAACTTAAAATGTATCAGTTCGAAACTAAAGGTCCATCACTTTGAAACTTAAAATGCATAACTTCGAAATTTAAGCATATATATATATATATATATATATATATATATGCATTATTGGATTGGGTTAATAATATATCTAAAATTTATTTTGAATATTCAAAATTTGTAGTGATACATTTTAGACTTGACATCCATTTTTTGTGACAAAAATAAACCCGTAGCCCTTATTTTATGGTGTGCACTGCATTAGGAAGTTAGAACGTGTCAGTATCCTTCTTTCTCTATAAAACGCAAAATTCTCTTACCTCAAAGCTATCACTAACCGATTAGAGATGATAGTAGATGAATAAATAATGATAACTTAACTGTTTATTAAGTGAAAAAACATCAAAATTAGTGCTCACAAAAAGTTCACCATATTAGATGTAATTCCCCCTTTGAGTTGTTTGGGTTTAATATTTGGTCTTTTATTTTAGACAGACCACTGTACCCTAATGTCCTTACCATATTTAGACAGACCACTGGTGAATAAATCGCGACCTCCTTTTCTGTAGGCTGTAGCAATAACTAGCAGGATCCTTTTTGTCAACGGTCAACCATCTCTGTGACTTTTCACATGCTGGATGCGTATATATCTGTTAATTAATATCTGTTCAAAGTCCAATACACTTCTCATATTCAACAACCCTTTACTGCTCTCTTGCCAAATAGGAGCTTCTCTCCCTTTTCATCTACCACTTGGTGGAAACCACCCAACTCCAGAAATGTATGCTCCCATTGGTTCAACTTTATTGCTTTCCCAAATTTTATTATTATTTTTCTTTTTATACAGTTTAGTGATGTATCATTGGATTGTTTCTGCTTTTGGAGTCTTTGGATTTTAACTACTTTATGTATGTGCATATTAGCTACTATTGTATTGTATTCTCATCTGCCCATTATGGGCATTGTGGATTCTTTCTTGCCCCTTAGAAGAGATAGTTGTGTTCTTGAGATGCAATTGCTAGTGGGAACTTCCCGGCCAATTCTTGTTTTGACCAAGACTTAGGCGTTTTTTAATCAATTTTGATCAGCATGTGATGATATTTTGCATATTGGCATTCCAGGTGTGCATTTGGATGATTGGAATTGAGTATCTTTTCTGTGTTTGGAAGATCTGGAGTCCCTTGTGTTGAAACAAAAAAATAAATAAAATTAAAGGGTGATTGTTGATTGAGTGTTAGAAGGGAGTGAAGATGGCAGCAGCTCTGGCTGCAGATGATATGGTCAGGTCTCTGAGTAGCCAGCGGTCCACGAGTAGGAGTAGAAGGATGAGTTTTGGATCGGGCAGTGCAAGGAGCTTGGCTTCTGCAAGTGTTAGGGAGGTGTTTGGTGCACCGGATGGAGACGTGTTTCAGAGAAGTGCTAGGGAGAATGATGACGAAGAAGAGCTGAAGTGGGCTGCTATCGAGAGACTTCCTACGTATGATCGGTTGAGGAAAGGGATCTTGAAGCAAACGTTGGATAATGGAAAAGTTGTTCATCAAGAAGTTGATGTTCAAAACCTCGGGATGCAAGACAAGAAGCTGCTCATAGAGAGTATTTTGAAAGTTGTGGAAGAGGATAACGAGAGGTTCCTTAGAAGACTCAGAGACAGGACTGATAGGTAAGGCTGAAATTTCTCTTCTCTCTATGCATTTTCTAATGGTTAGTCTTAATGAATATGTTAAAAAATCATACATACACAAGGAATAATTGTTTCGAAATTATGGTAAGCCACTATTATCAATGATATAGAATTTGTCATGAACAGGGTTGGAATTGATATTCCGAAAATTGAAGTTCGATATGAGGATCTGTCAATTGAAGGAGATGCATATGTTGGATCCCGGGCACTGCCTACTTTGTTCAATGCTACAATGAATATGATAGAGGTATTTCGTTTTACTTCCTATGTAAATCTTGATCGAGCTTCTAACTTTATTTGAATGATTGCATATATTATGCTGATAATGTTTATATATTTCTGCAGGGCTTCCTTGAAAAGATAAGGATATTCCCATCGAAGAAAAGAGTAGTCAAGATACTCAAAGGTGTGAATGGAATTATAAAACCATCAAGGTATGTTCATAAATCATAACTAAGCATTAGTTTAATGTTAGTTTGATGAATATATTACACCTTATGTGGAGAACTTCTGTTCGGTCCATATGGATAAACTTCTTACCCTTCTATTCTACAGGATGACTCTTCTTCTCGGGCCTCCCAGCTCTGGGAAAACAACATATTTGAAGGCACTCGCTGGAGTATTGGACAAAGATCTTAGGGTAAGTGATAATCTTTATAACTTGCGGCTTGAAATCTTACTTTGTCATGTTTTTTTATGACACTCGTTCTTGAATTTTGCTTTTTTTTCTAAGGTTGAGGGGAAGATCACTTATTGTGGGCACGAGATGTCAGAATTCATTCCTCAACGGACTTGTGCTTATATCAGCCAGCATGACCTCCACCATGGAGAGTTGACAGTGAGAGAGACACTGGACTTTGCAGGACGTGTTTTTGGAGTTGGAACTCGATACGAGCTTCTCACAGAATTGTCAAGGCGTGAAAGGGATGCAGGAATTAAACCTGACCCCGAGATCGATGCATTTATGAAAGCCACTGCAATTGCAGGCCAAGAATCTAGTTTGGTCACGGACTATTCACTTAAGGTATATTTTCAGTTTAATTCTATAGCTAGGAAACCAAGTAAGTATGTTGAACTGTCCAAGAATCTAGTTTGGTCACACTATTTTCAGTTTAATTCTATAGTTAGGAAACCAAGTAAGTTTGTTGAACCGTGGAAATGATTTACAGATACTTGGTTTGGATATATGTGCTGATATAATGGTGGGTAATGAGATGATGAGGGGCATATCAGGTGGACAGAAGAAGCGTGTCACCACAGGTACGTTCCGTGCATAAAATAAGGTTCATGAATTAGCATATACCCTTTCTTTAGTTTCGGTTTCCTCATATTTGAATCACTCGGCAACATTTCTTGTTTAACATATACGGTTGTTGTTGAGTGGTTGAGCATATAACCATTAATGTGCAATCCAACTATCAGCTTAAGCTTTTAGTTGAGATGGAGCACATGCTTCAATTGTTGTATTATAGATCTTTTATATATGTGAATGCAGGAGAAATGTTGGTTGGTCCTGCAAAAGTTTTTTTCATGGATGAAATCTCTACGGGTCTCGACAGTTCCACAACGTTTCAAATTGTTAAATTCATGAGGCAAATGGTCCATATCATGGACGTGACAATGATAATATCTCTTCTTCAACCTGCACCTGAAGCATTTGATCTTTTTGATGACATAATTTTGCTTTCCGAGGGGCAAATCGTGTATCACGGTCCACGTGAGAATGTTGTTGAGTTTTTCGAGAGTGTGGGATTTAAATGCCCAGAAAGGAAAGGAGTTGCTGACTTTCTCCAAGAAGTTACTTCCATGAAGGACCAAGAACAGTATTGGTACCGAAAAGATGAACCGTATCGTTTTATTTCAGTAGCTGAATTTGCGAATCATTTTAGCAATTTTCACGTTGGACATAAACTATACGATGAGCTCTCAGTTCCTTTTAACAAGAGTAGAACCCATCCTGCAGCATTGGTTACTGAGAAGTATGGTATTTCCAATATGAAGCTCTTCAAGGCGTGTTTATCTAGGGAATGGCTATTGATGAAACGCAACTCCTTTTTATACATATTCAAGACATTCCAGATTACCGTAATGTCAATAATTACTTTCACAGTATTCTTTAGGACAAAGATGAAATCTGGAACGATAGAAGATGGAGGGAAGTTTTATGGAGCACTGTTTTTCAGTCTCATCAATGTGATGTTTAATGGAACAGCAGAGCTTGCATTGACCATCTTCAGACTTCCTGTGTTTTTTAAACAAAGAGATTCTCTGTTTTTTCCGGCTTGGGCTTTTGCACTTCCGATTTGGCTCATGAGAGTCCCCCTTTCACTCATGGAATCTTTCATATGGATTATTCTTACTTATTACACCATTGGCTTTGCTCCTTCTGCTAGTCGGTATGCATTATATTTTCAGTTCAATCCCAAACATAAACTAAAACCTCTCATGCTTGTTGAGATGGAGCACATGCTTCAATTTGGTATCAGAGCCAGACCAAAGGTCATGGGTCCGATAAGCAACTACGGTCCACGTGTTGCTTGGAACCACCGCACGCGTGAGGGGGCGTGTTGAGCATATAACCATTAATGTGCAATCCAACTATAAGCTTAGGCTTTTAGTTGAATGGAGCACATACTTCAGTTATGCTTGACTGTAATACTGATATGTTTTGAATTTCTTTAGGTTTTTTCGCCAATTCTTGGCCTTCTTCTCTTTGCATCAGATGGCCTTGTCCCTCTTCCGTTTTATTGCTTCACTTGGAAGAACACAAGTGGTTGCAAACTGTTTTGGGACTTTTAGTTTGCTGGTAGTCTTTGTTCTTGGTGGTTTCATTGTTGCTAAAGGTCAGTAATGTTCCTTATATTGAAGTTTGCCTATTCTCTTCATCCCTTAAATTTATCTCGATTACAAGATTTTTGTGTAAAAAAACACTATTTCTTCTCTGGATGCAGATGACCTTGAACCGTGGATGAAATGGGGATATTACGTGTCTCCCATGTCTTACGGACAGAATGCTATAGCCATCAATGAATTTCTTGATAAAAGATGGAGCTCTGTAAGCTTCAATAATAGTTTCGAACAAATTTTATCGTCATTCATTACTCATTAGTCTAACCAATTGAAGCATGTGCTCCATCTCAACTAAAAGCCTAAGCTGATAGTTGGATTGCACATTAATGGCTATATGCTCAACATAACCTGCCCCATTCGTTTTGTCTTTTCAGCCGGTTAATGTTTCGGGATTCCAGGAGCATACAGTAGGCTTGGTGCTTCTTAAGTCGAGGAGCATGTATTTAGATGACTACATGTACTGGATATGCGTCATTGCCCTTTTAGGATTCTCGCTTCTCTTCAATGTCTGCTTTATCATTGCACTCACATACTTAGATCGTAAGAATACAATACTATTTCCACTCCTTCCTTATCTGCTAAAAACTTCTAAAACCCAAGATATATGCATGCTTTTGAGTTCCTTCAATTCGTTTCTGAAATGCAGCCTATGGAGACTCTAAATCCGTTATCCCTGATGAGAAAGATACTAATCGTAAGACTAAAGGCAAGTTAAATCCCTATAGTAAAGCAGCCAGAGACGGGAGTTCATCGTCTACACCTCCTCCTATGTTTGAAGGTTTGGCACCTCAAATCCTATGCTTGTTATCAATGGTTTAAGGTTGTAATATTTTGTTCCTTCATTCTTCTGTCTTATGATTGTCGATTTCAATGCAGGCATTGATATGGGTGTAAGGCATTCTGGACGAGGCTTAAGTAGCGAACAGAAAGCGAGCAAGAAAGGGATGGTGCTTCCATTCCAGCCTCTTTCTCTTGCATTCAACCATGTGAATTACTATGTTGATATGCCGGCTGTAAGTATCATTTTCGGTGTGCATTTTTGAGATCTCTCTATGAATGAATGATATTGGCAGGCCTTGATGGTTGTTAAAGAGTGATAAAATAAGAAAGAAAATATGGATTATAAGGCCATGAGTTTGACTAGTTAATTGGTTGGATTCAATCTTTTAGTGTGGTTTGGCCTATGTGCATTATAGCTCAGTTGAGTGACCCTAGCCCAATCTTAGTTTGTAACAATGTTGTGTTGTACTTATGGTATATATTGAACAGGAAATGCAAAAACAAGGAATTGAAGAGACGCGTCTCCAGTTATTGCAAGACGTGAGTGGTGCTTTCAGGCCGGGGGTTCTAACAGCATTGGTTGGTGTAAGTGGAGCTGGGAAGACCACCTTGATGGATGTCCTAGCAGGAAGAAAAACGAGCGGCTATACCGAGGGAACCATCAACGTTTCTGGTTACCCCAAGAATCAATCGACTTTTGCTCGTATAAGTGGCTATTGTGAACAGAATGATATTCATTCTCCACATGTTACAGTTCACGAGTCTCTTGTATACTCTGCCTGGTTGCGTCTTTCTCCAGATGTCGACAAGCAAACAAGAAAGGTGCGGTGTGCTCAGACTTCCAATTTACACTTCAAAGTTTCTAACAAGTGGTCAGATTAACCAGTTTGGTTGGCGTGAGTGGCTGTGCACTCTCGTCCCTTAAGAGAACCCCCTCTCGTATGGAAAAACCAATCTGGCCAGCACTTTGCCTCTTAATTGAGCCTGCCCGGTGTGAACGGGATTAGTCTGAGTATGGTACGGGCTTAAACGTGCCTCCTACAGTTAGGGCCTGCTCAGGACACCTCGTGTCTGACAAAAAAAAAAAAAAAACAAGTGCTAAGATTGACTTATATTATGGTTTTTGTTGTTGTGTGTGTAGATGTTCATTGAGGAAGTGATGGAGCTGGTTGAGCTGAATCCTTTGAGGGATTCTCTCGTTGGGCTCCCGGGGGTCGATGGCCTCTCGACTGAGCAGAGAAAGCGGTTGACAATAGCTGTGGAACTCGTTGCTAACCCATCCATCATCTTCATGGACGAACCCACATCAGGCCTCGACGCTAGAGCTGCTGCAATCGTGATGCGAACCGTGAGAAACACTGTGGATACAGGACGAACCGTCGTCTGCACAATTCACCAGCCAAGCATAGATATCTTTGAAGCATTCGATGAGGTAGCCAAGCCAGCCACTGGTAACGCCACTCTGTTCGATGTTCTGAATCTAAACATTTGCCTTTTCATTATATTGTAGCTTCTGCTGATGAAGAGGGGAGGGCAGGTCATCTATGCAGGGCCTCTTGGTCATCACTCTCACCGGTTGATACAATATTTCGAAGTGAGTAACTTCGTCCCTATGTAAACTCACACGTTTTTCGTGCACACGACTTAATTGGCTTGCAATAATTTGTATATATTTTTCCAGTCTGTACCGGGGATTCCTAAAATCAGAGAGGGATATAACCCCGCTACCTGGATGCTTGATATCAGTGCTCCTGCAGTTGAGGCTCAACTTGATGTCGACTTTGCAGAAATCTATGCTAACTCTGATCTCTACCGGTAACTAGAACACATAACAAAACTGTTACTGTCTCGTTAGTCATCTCATCTCATCTCACTTTATTTCTAACAATGTTTTTCTACTCAGGAGGAATCAAGAACTCATCGAGCAGTTGAGCACTCCAGCCCCGGGTTCCCAAGACCTTCACTTCCCAACAAAATACGCCCAACCTTTCATCACTCAATGCCACGCTTGCCTGTGGAAAATGCACTGGTCTTACTGGAGGCATCCACAATACAATGCAATCCGGTTTTTCATGACAACAGTGATAGGAATTATATTTGGAGTTATTTTCTGGAAAAAGGGGAAGCAAACGTAAGCCCCCGCTATCATCGAGTTGTGAAATGAGCATAAGAAAGATCGAAACTTCTTTTCCCCCTTTATGGATTACTCTGATCTCTTATGAATATTTAACAGGTCCAAACAACAAGACCTGTCGAATCTTATGGGAGCTATGTATGCTGCTGTTTTGTTCCTCGGAGGAACAAATACTAACGCTGTGCAGTCTGTAGTATCCGTAGAGAGGACAGTCTTCTATCGAGAAAAAACAGCAGGGATGTATTCTGCACTGCCTTACGCATTTGCTCAGGTAAAAAGATAGATTTTTACTTCGAAATCTCTGTTTCCCATCCTTTTGTGTAGAGCTAATTCTCGAAATTAGGACTCTATATATGACCAAACTAGTAAAATAAGTAGTATGGGTATGGTTGAGAGACCATTTCGAGAATTAACACTTTTTTGTACTTACAAAAAGCGTGCAGTGGCATTAGATAGGCCGGGTTGGTGAACTCTCTTGAATTCTTGTGTCATATATATATATGTATATATGTTGCAGGTGGGCATAGAGACTGTGTATATTGCAATCCAAACCTTAATTTACAGCATTCTGCTGTACTTCATGATTGGATTCGAGTGGGACGCTGGGCGCTTCTTCTGGTTCTATTACTACATCTGCATGTGCTTCCTATACTTCACATCCTATGGAATGATGCTCGTCGCCCTCACTCCAAGCTACCAGATTTCTGCCATCGTCATGACATTCTTCCTCAGCTTTTGGAATCTCTTCTCCGGGTTTCTCATTCCAAGAACGGTGAGTACTGCAAACCTTCAATCATTTCTTTTCATAACTTACATTGCCTGCTAGCTTGCTACCTGCCTACCTACCTACCTACCTGGTTTCTTGATGCATGTTATGTATGTATGTATGTGTATGTACACAGCAAATCCCGGTGTGGTGGAGGTGGTACTATTGGGGATCCCCCGTCGCTTGGACCATATACGGCCTCATTACGTCTCAGATTGGTGACAAAACAGATCCGGTGGCCATTCCCGGGGCTGCAGACATGACAGTGAAGGACTATCTCAAAGATAGCTTGGGATTTGATTATGACTTCCTTGGTGTAGTTGCAGCTGTTCATGTTGCCTGGGTTCTTCTCTTCTGCTTTGTCTTTGCCTATGGCATCAAGTTCCTTAATTTCCAAAGGAGATAGGACTGGATAGGATAGGATAGATAGATAAAGCAAATTTCCTTCCATTCTTATAAGAGCCCCACAATACTAAGTGTTAAAATTTTTAATTTGTTTATAGAATACGGAATTTTAAGTCTCCCAACCCCATTTGTTATACCATGGACCAGGGTCTACCTTGCAAGGTGGATCATGGTTCTAAATTGTGTATTTTTAGTATTAAAATTGTGAACATTTAAAATATAGATTGTGTTTGTAAGTATTAAAATTTTTAAATTGTTTATAGACGCAACTAGTATTTTAACCCGTGCGTTGCACAGAATGTATTTGTTATAATATTTTAAGAATATTTAGATTGATATACAAATATAAATTATAACAACGAATATTATATAATGCAGTTGATGAAATGGGTTGTATCGACTATAGATTATGTTTTTTAATGTTATCTTTGCATGAATTCGAGAAAATATTTGCTCAGTTACTCTTGTGATGCGCGTGCGTTGCACGGATAAAAAAATTTATTGTATATTATAAAATTAAAGATGAAATTGTAAACAATTCTAATATTTGGAAGTGTACATTTATTTGATTATGATGTTAATGCAAAAGTATCACTCAATTAATTGAATAATATATGACTCGCTTGTCTACAATTATCTTAAAAAATCAATATGCAATATGATTTACGTAATTATATTATGAGTAAATACCTAAAATGGTCCCTCGACTATAGCTAAATTCACAAATTGGTCCTCAACTTTCAATTTCACCCAATTAAGTCCTTAACTTTGCAATTTTGACACGATTTGATCTTCCATCTAATTGACCGTTTGTTGACCGTGATCGATGATTTCCAGAAGAACCTTCAGCTCTAGTCGGAGCACGTGGAGGCCTCCAGGATGACATTGCACCAGTTCAGAAACACGTCGTCTTCTTCGCTCTGGTACGAATTCAACTACATTGAATCCAAACGGAGGTTGAAGAAAGGTGACCGGGTTTGGTAGATTGCTTTCGACAGTGGATTCAAATGTAACAGTGCGGTCTGGAAATGCAACCGGAACCTTAAAAAACCGACGATGGACCATGAAATTACATATATATCCTCAAAAATCACAGTCAATAAACGGTCAAATAGACAGAGGACCAAATTGTGTTAAAATTACAAAGTTAAGGACTTAATTGGTTGAAATTGAAAGTCGAGAACCAATTTGTGAATTTAGCTATAGTCGAGGGATTATTTTGGGTATTTACTCTTATATTATTACAAAAATAAATATGAAAAAAAAATTAATTATAATTATTTTAAAAATTAATACAACAACTCATGTTTAGCTTAATTACAATAATAATTATTACCCAATTATTATTAGGCAATTACACTAATAGCTAACCGAAATTAAATACTAAGCTAGCTATAATATTAAATAAAGTTTGGATCCCTTTAATTTGATCATATATATGATTAGGTGGGAGTGGGTGGAGAAAATATAAGGTGGGTCGGGTGATGGATGTAGCCCTCTCCGACCTGCACCCGACCCATTGCCATCCCTATATATGATCCATTTTCATCATCTACATACCTAGCTAGCTAAATAGTTGGATCCCTTTAGTGCTAATGATCTTGGAGATTCAGATTAGAGACGAAGCGATAAATCAATTATATTTTCATTGTGGATGTTTTGGGGACGAGATGCAGACGCGGTGGTGGCGGTGGGATGGAGGAGTATCGGAATGGATAGTGGTGGAGGAAAGCTGGTATTACTGTATTAGGACTGAAGAGAGAAGCTCCTGCAACAGAGGAGGAGGCGGCGGCGGCCCTTTGACGCTGGTGGGCTCCCTGGTGACCGCCGAGAGCTTGGGGAGTGAAGAAGTTGCGGGAGCAGTAGAGGCAAGAATAAAGTGGTGGTTGTGCGTCACTGACGAGGGAGCCCAGCGCCAAGTTCAGGTACAGGTCCACCTTGGAACCCGACCCGGCATAGTGGAACGGGTACCGAGGAGGCATGTCAGGAGAGAGGGGGTTGCGGACTGGGACATGTCGTTGGGTGCTGCCGCGAGTCCACTAACGGCGGTAGGACTTGCAATAGTGGCGAGGCTGAGAGAGGTTTTAGTTGTTGTAGTAGCAGAACTTAGTGTTGGTGGAACCGCAGCGCGGGCATGGCTCCGTTCCCGTCATCCTCCCCGCTCGTCTCTCTCCGCTGTCGGAAGACGACATTTGTGTTTCTGGGCTTTGGCTTTAGATTTCAAGCGAAATGGAAAAAGCAGATTAATACAATAGTGAAGAAGACAAATATTTGAGGGAAAAAGTGTCAAATTGGCCCTCTAAGTCAAGTGGCAATAGTTATGCTATGGACCCGTGTCCAGCATGCATGCTGGACACGGGTAACAGTGCCGTTAGGCACTGTTTTTTTTTTTTTTTTTTTTTTTTTTTTTTTAAGTTTCAGACCGCTTGGTTATAAGAGTATATGTTCATAATTTTATTACTATATGTTAATAACTGTACATTCGTAACTCCATAACTGTACGTTCATAACTCTATAATTGTACATTCATAACTCCATAACTGTACATTCATAATTCCATAATTGTACATTCATAATTTTCGAAGCTCTATGTTCACAATTTTAGAGTTCTATGTTCACAATTTTAGAGTTCTATGTTCATAATTTTATCACTATATGTTCATAATTGTAAGTTCATAATGTCAGAGCTCTTTGTTCATAATTCGATCAATAACTGTACATTCATAATTCCATAACTGTAGATTCATAATCTCATAACTGTAGATTCATAACTCCATAACTGTAGATTCATAACTCCATAACTGTACATTCATAATCTTCGAAGCTCTATATTCACAATTTTAAAGCTCCATGGTCATGATTTTATCACTATATGTTCATAATTGTAAGTTCATAATGTTAGAGCTCTGTGTAATTTCATAATTGCACAACTGTACATTCATAACGACATAACTGTACATTCATAATCCAAAAAAAAAATAACGCCGCTAACGGCAAAACACACGCGATTTTTTTTTTTTAACTAAATGACGTGTTTTTTTTAAAAAACGACGTCGTTTTGGGCCCGTGTCACACGGGTCCAGGGCATAATTTGCCGTCAAGTGGATAGTGCAATTGGGTCCCCTAAGTGAAAAAAGTTTCATTCAAGTTCTCTAAACCGGTAAAATTTTTCAATTAAGTCCAATTTGACTTGTTTATCAGGTTAACTCGATACGGTGTTGACACGTGTCCTTTTTATTTTATTTTTTAAAACAAAATGTTTTTTTTATTAAAAATTAAAAATATTATTTATTATAAATAAATAAATAAGAGAACAGTCATCCGCTGTTCGCGCCGGACAACCGGTGTCTGTCTTCTTTCACGGACAGTCGTGGCTGTCCAGCAGGACGGCCACGACTATCTAAGGAAGACGGCCATTGATCGGACAGCAGGTGGCTGTTCTCTTTTTTATTTTTTATTTTTAAATTCTTTTTCAATTTTTAATTGTTTAGTTTATTTATTTATTTATTTATAATAAATAATTATTCTAATTTTGAATAAATAAAAAATATTTTGTTTTAAAAAATAAAACAAAAAAGACACGTGTCAATACCACATCAATTTAACCTGATAGACAAGGCAAATTAGACTTAATTGAATAATTTTACCGATTTAGGAGACTTGAATGAAGCTTTTTTCATTTAGGGAATTCAATTACACTATCCATTCAATTTAGGGGGCCAATTTGACACTTTTTTCAATATTTGAGCAAATATATGTTAACATCTAAAAGATAAAATACAAATTTCAAGTATGCATTTAGAATATAATTTACCAAATCAAATTTCAAAGCATCATCAACAGGGTCAATCTCGCCATTAAGCCTTTTTCAAACCACTCATACCTTTTATCATCATTGGTATTGGATTGTGGATCTACCACAGTATAAACCTACAAAATTAAAAATATCATTAGACATTGATTGTACAATTAATTAATAATTCATGCTATTTTATACCTTAAAGGTGTGTGAAACTATACATTAAGGTGCGTATTTTTAAAGCATAAGGTGAGTTAAAACAAATCTAAAAAGCCTTGAATGAACATGTAACACCCCAAATTTTCATACACCTGAGCCTAGTACTAAACATGAATTAAAGGTAGGAAAATGTAGAATAAAGAGAGAGCAATTAAATACTAATTACCCAACAACCAAAACAAAAGGGGATGCTACTCCGTAGCTACCCTCAATAGAGCAACTACACGGAAAACTAACTAATCATAACATTAACATTAATTAATAAGGGCCCACATCTCAAAACATACGGAGTCTAAGCTCGCAAACATAAGATAAGGCTCACAGACCTAAGTGTCAATGCACTACAAAACAGGGAAAGAGATCAACTGAACTACTCGAGTCTAACATCAAACAAAGTTTAGGAGGTTTAACAAACAACTAGGAAACTAGCATCAAAACTCTATACTATACTAGCTCCTTCTAAACGCGCTCAGCAATCACCGATCAAACCTGAAATGGGTTAAATGAAAAGACATACAAAAGCAACCTGTTAGCACGAATGCTAAGTATAAACCACTTCATCCCAGTAAAGTACATATAGATTGGAAAAATGGTTTTTTTTTTTTACACATAACACGTTAGCCAATCAAGTCATAGATATACGTCAAATAGGTTCATGAGTATATAGATATGCATATACAAGATCGAATAATACCTATCTCATAAATATTAAGCTCATATGCAAGTGTAACTCATACACATCACTTATGCAACCCATGATCAAACCTAAAAGGGGTTAAGTGAAAAGACATACAAAAGTAATCTGTTAGCACGAATGCTAAGTATAAATCACTCCATCCCGTAAAGTACATATAGATATAGATTGAAAAAATCGTTTGTTTTACACATAGCACATTAGCCAATCAAGTCATAGATATACGTCAAATAGGTTCACGAGTATATAGATATGCATATACAAGAATAATACCTATCTCATAAATATTAAGCTCATATGCAAGTGTAACTCATACACATCACTTATGCAATCCTTGCTCGAGTATATAGATTCGTTATACCATAACAAGATGTGAAATCATTTATATGCACTCTCTCAAG